TCATCACTTATCTCGTTGGAAGTGCGAGGTAGGATGGTGCTTATAGGCGATTTGTCAGCCCTTGAGCCCTCGGCTCGTACTAGGGTGGTTTGCAGGTACGGGGAACGCACCCACGGACATGTAACAACAACAACAAGTGCGGCACAAATGCATGACAAGCGGCTGCGGAAGACAGTGCGCTTAGGGAGCCCGCAGTGGCGGCAAGCCGAACGGAAGGCGTTGATTTAGGAGCATATAGAAGGTGACAGCGGAGGGCGGTCCACTTGTAGAAACACCGCTGCGGCGGTCCGATAGTGCGGCACCAATTGCATGATAAGAGGCTGTAGAAGGCAGCGCACTTAGGAAGCCCGCCGAGGCGGCACACCGAACTGACGGCTTTATGATTTAAGAATGTGTAGACGGCGACCACGGAAGGCGGCCCGCTTGTAGAAAAGCTGCTGCGGCAGTCCTCAGAATACGGCACTAAAATGCCTGACAAGCGACTGCGGAAAACAGCACGATTAAGAAGCCCACCGCGGCGGCACACCGAATGGGAGGCGTTGTGACCTAGGAGGATATAGACAGCGACCGCGGAAGGCGGTGCGCTTGTAGAAAACTGCTGTGGTGGCCCGCAAAGCGCGGCACAGAATGCATGACGAGCGGCAGTGAAAGGCAACGCGATTAGGAAGCCTGCCGTGGCGGCACGCCAAACTGAAGGTTTGGTATGGGAACTTGTAGACAGCGACCACAGAAGGCATCGCGCTTGTAGCAAACCGCTGGGGTGGTCCACTGAGTTCGGTTCACAAGAGGCTTCAGGAGGTAGCATTCTTGAGTAACCCGCAGTGATGGCTTGCCGGATTACAGGCGTGGCGATTTAGGAGTATGTCAACAACGATCACAGAAGGCGGTGCACTTGTAGAAGGGAGACAGGGAGAGACACGTCTCAGACACGGGACCAGGAGTACCAGACACGAAGCGGGGTACAGAACGAGCCACAGCTATTAGAAGGCCGTTACTGTTCCCCATAAAACCCCATAAAGGGCCGACCCACTGATGGAGACCATAAGGGTAGTTGCCCGAGTAAGGTGTGGAAAAGCCAGAAATAAACAATCGTATCAAACGCCCTTGCCTGGGAATGTTTTTCAGCTAGGCGGCTGAAGAATGCATTAGCATCTTTCTGTATGAGGAGGGGCGAAGGCCAATACAAACGTCATTGGTTGGCCCATCAGGAAACCAGAGGCAAGGATGCCGTGAGGGGAGAAGGGCGCTACAAAACGTCAAGGCCTGCCCAGGCGCAGGCTACGGGAGTACCAGGGAGGGCCGCTAGACTGCCGGGGCCAGTGAAGGTTACCCTGTTAAAACGCAAGGCACGGCCATAGGAGCAGAGAAAAATTGGCCGAGAACTACCGGAGCAGTCGGCTTCCCCGAGCAGTAGGGAATCGGCGAGTGGCAGTGACGAAGATATGCAACCCGGGCGGACGACCAGGGCCAGGAGGGCGGAATCGGAGGACATACGCCAGGCTAGAGCCGAAGGGTCATCCGCTGCTGGCAGACAAGCGGAAAGGGACATCCGGTCCGAATCCAGGGGCCCGGTCGGGCAACAAGTGGATTGGCGAGCCTTGGGGAAAGACGTTGGCTGCAAAACACGGAGACAAGGCCATGTCACTCAGAGGCATGTTCGAGCCCAACGCGGCCTCAGACCCAGGAGCGATAGTGGCATTACGAATCGGAGGATTTTGGGCTCCGAGGACGGCAGTCAACTTTTGTGGGGCGGCGCAAAGAACTTATGGTGATCGGTCTGACGGACGCGCTGGAACAGTTTTTCTGGTGGGTAGGGCAGGATCTCTGCGATGGATACACGAATCACAGGAGGCGAGGCTACGACGTAGACTGACACCCCTTATCGAAGAGATAGCAGAACAACTGGCAGCAGCCTTTCGAACAGCAGCGGGAACCTATCAGGGTGAGTCCAGTTTTCGGGGGAAAGTGTACAGTTCCCCAATTGATGACTACCGCGTGTCAGAGGAGCGATGCGGGGCCAACTTAGGTGACTTATAATGGGTGCCCGGGTGCACCACCCGGGGGTGGTCGGGGGGACGCGGAGACGGGAGTGAGAGAGTTGGAGATACGAAATGGGGAGAGTTTACAGTGAGAGCAGGAGTAAGGCAAGGCAGAGAGGGGGGCGCGCGGAGCGCGGGTGGCCGGGGTGTTTTAGGTTGGCAGGGGGATGGAGGGTGGGACGCCGTGCGTGGTGCGTGGGGCTCGCTTAGGCGGAGAGCGTTACAAAGGTTGTAAGTGAGCCCTTCGTATCATACGGATGCTCGCCCCAACTAATCCGGCCCTTACGGTGGCGGGCTCTTTGACTTCAGAAATGCCAAATACAGAAGTACGGAGGGCCCTATGCCAACCACGGATATCACACCAGGACGAGACAGTCCGAGTTTTGGCCATTCCAGCACAGAATGCAGAGTCAGACAACAGGTACCAACTAAGCTTTATTAAGACGGATTACAGAAAATAGACGACGAGAAAGACTAGAAAAAGTCGAGGTCGCCCTCCCTCCCCACCCTCGTGAGACAGGACCAAACATGCACAGACTTATCACTCATCATCACTCTCCGAAACCACCAGCCCCGTCCCCGTCCCGCCGGCCGGGAGGCGGGCGAGGTGCCTAGTAGGATCCAGATAGCGGTGCAGAGTACCCAGAGAGCGGATGTGCGCGGAGCGCATGAGATCCTCATCGGAGACCCCCTGAGACTGGGCATGCTGCAAAGCACCCCGACGAAAACTGTGCACCGTCTCTCCACCGTATAGCCCAGCAGCGGTAAGATGAGCGACGAGGCGATATTCCAGGGCCTCGGTCGTCATCGGCGCCTCCCGATATGCGCGGCCACTGCGCTCCGCCGGACGGAAGAGGTATTGGGTAATAGGGGTACCGGCCCTCGTACACGTGCTCATGTACACTGCAAGAACCCGCAGCGCACAGACGATAGGATCACGATCCGGATGCAACATCGTCGCAGGAGCACGCTGACCCTTGTACGTCTTGGTATTTAATTCTTCGATACGGAGTACAGTGTCGGGAGAGACACTCCCGTCAGGCGCGGGTAGGGGTAACAGCCAGCCCTGGTACTCGGTACGGCCATGCACCGGATCCCTGAAATCACTTAACACCAGCTTGCCGACATCATGACCGCGCTGATACGTATGCCACATTAAAGCAAATAGAGACAAGTCCCGAAGCACCAAACTGCGAGCAAACAAATGCTCTTCGTCGCCGGACGCAGTCCACAGATGGCAGGCCAGGCAACGAAACTTTTCCGCGGTCAAAGGGATGGCGCCTCGCTCCACATAACCGGCGTCACTAAGGTCCCGCCCGTAGCCCTTGACATAGCCTCGCACCAAGGAGCTGTCGCAAGGATTCCCGCGGCTTTGAGAGGCGTCATAGTCCCCTTCCCGGCCCAGCTGCTTAAAAGCAGTCGCAAGGCTCGAGATAACCCCTTTCACAGCACTGGCGCTGGGACGCCGGTCAGCCCGCAGACGCCCAGGGTGCCGGGGGAACCACCATTCCACCAGATACGAAACAATGGACATAGGATCGCAGGTGAGCAAGGTGAGCCCGAGAGACTGGCGCTGCAACCAGCCATGAAATTCTCGCGCAGCACTTTGAACCCGCCGCCAGCTCTCCGAGACCCACTGATGTTGGTGCACCTGGTAGATCGAGAGCAAGGCGGCCGTGAGCGGCGGCCGCACCGACACGTCCCCGGTAAACTCAGAGTAATACAGAGCCGCGACAGGGTCTAAAGGCGGTGGCGCCGACCTCGGGAGACGGATAGGGCCCGCAGCAAGCGGAGGCATGGCAGGGAGAGGATTACCAGGAAAGACCTGCGGTGATCATAGAGCCGAGGCGTAGGACGCACTAAGCTGACGGACGTCCATCGAAAACAGACAAAACGTACCAGCGGCAGGTGTAACGGCGGGACGATGAGATCGTCACGCACAGGCGTAACGGTAACGAATCGATGAGTAGACGAAGTAAGTGGGTCTTGGCCCCACGGTAAGCCGCCAGGTACGAGAGGAAACATAATGCTAACGGGTACTCGCGATAACACGATTACTCGATTCAGGAACACGGAAAATTATTACAATAAAACGGAGCGCGATCGCGCTTCCAAAAAATTTGGATATCACCGAAAAGGGCCTAAATTCGTTCGTGCGTGGTGCGTGGGGCTCGCTTAGGCGGAGAGCGTTACAAAGGTTGTAAGTGAGCCCTTCGTATCATACGGATGCTCGCCCCAACTAATCCGGCCCTTACGGTGGCGGGCTCTTTGACTTCAGAAATGCCCGAGTGGACTCCCTCGGCACGTGAAGCCTTTGAGGTAGTAAAGAAAGCCTTGGCAGACGATGTCTTGCTTCGGTACCCTGATTTGACCAAACCGTTCTCTTTTGAGGTAATTTCGGACGCATCGTTAAGGAGAACAGGTGCTGTACTTCTCCAAGATGGAGCCCCTATTGCGTTCACCAGTAAAAAGTTCACGCCAGCCGAACGGAACTATACAACGGGAGAGCAGGAATTGCTTGGTGTAATCCATGCCCTAAGAGAGTGGCGATGCTACCTCGAAGGACCACATGACGTACGCGTGGTAACGGATCATCACCCGTTAATTTACCTCAAAACGCAACCCACGTTAAATCGAAGGCAAGCACGTTGGCTTGAGTTCCTTAGTCGATTTCATTTATTGTGGGAACATCGTGCTGGGAAACTGAATGTAGCTGATGCTCTCAGTCGACATCCCTCACTGAATGCGATAACCCGAAGGACGAAAGCATGTACGCTTCGAGAACGTATCCTGGCTGGGTATGCTAAGGATCCTTGGTTCGGTCAATCACTAAACGTAGCTACGTTGTTCCGTAATGAACAAGGCTACTGGCTCAAGGCGATGCCTACGGGACGTCGAAGTATTGTCGTTCCATGTGAGCCCCAACTACGACAAGAACTGATAGCTCGCTGTCATGGAGGACCCATGGGTGGACACCCAGGAGTCGCTCGCACCCTTGAGTTAGTACAACGACACCATTGGTGGCCTGGGATAACAGCAGATATCGAGTCTTTCGTACGTTGTTGTGATAAATGTCAACGTAACAAAACCTTGTCAGGGCGACAACATGGTTTGTTGCAACCGTTGCCAATACCAGACATGCCGTGGGACAGTGTCTCAATGGATTTTGTGGTTGGTTTGCCGCGTACGCAACGACAACATGACGCCATTTTTGTTGTGGTGGATCGTCTCACCAAGATGGCTCATTTTGTACCAACCAATACGCATGTCACAGCCGAGAAAACTGCAGAGTTGTTCCTTGCAAACGTTGTTCGATTGCATGGATTGCCCAAAACCACAGTCTCTGATAGAGGACCGCAGTTTGCTGGAATGTTCTGGCAACATATGGCTCGTATGATCGATCTTCGTTCAGATCTGTCTACAGCATTCCATCCACAGACCGATGGTCAAACAGAGCGCATGAACCGTGTGCTGGCCGACATGTTGCGAAGTTACTGTGATGGATCTCCATCCACGTGGGATAAAGTTTTATCCTTGGCGGAATTTGCTGTTAACAATTCGGTAAACCGGTCTACTGGTCAAACACCCTTCTTTCTAAATTACGGTTATCATCCTGCAACACCTACTGTACGAGAGTTAGATGTTACTGTACCAACAGCTAAGGCATTTGTGCAA